GGTCGCACAGCATGCCTTCCCTGCCGAGAAAATTGCTCTCTAACTTACACGCGCAAGCTTATCTTACACGCGCTCGGACGAGTTAGCAGTCCCCTCTCGCCGTTTGAGGTTGCCCGCCGCAATGCTATAACCACTGGGTCCAGCAACGGTTTAGCGTCTCCAGCCTTGCTGCACTTGCCCAATTTCAAACCAAAGGGCCTTAGAAAAGCTTGTTTTCGCATTTTCAAGCTCTCTAAAGTGAGTTTTCGAGATCAGCGCATCGGATAACCCCAGGTAATTGAAAATTTGACTAGGTTAAATTTTGTCGAGCCACGGCCTTTCCTATGAGAGTTGTTGATGACGGTGTTGCCTTGCAGTGTTGATAACTTAGCCACATATGCGACTTGTAAAGGGGTGTGCCTAAGGCATAAGAATATCAGAAGTGCAAACAGTTAACAAACTCTTCTTGTGAGAACGAAGCAAACAATAATTACATAATGGGGGAACAATTTGACTTTTATGTAGGAGCTTAGTAGATGTCACTCTTTTGTTTGAGAAAAGAACTATGAAATGCAAAAGGAGTGCTTCATGAATAACCCGTCATCTTGTATACTCATACTACAGCTAGTCCAATTGCTTGAACACTGCTTCTTCTTCTATTATCATTATCCTATTTTCACATGTTTAATCCGCCTTTTTTGCCCTAATTTTGAAGAAGAGCACGCAAAGGGTTTGTATGGCATCTTTTTCCGTGGACCAGATTACACGGGCTTGTGAGAAAACGTCTTGGAAATATGTGAGCGGTGACTCTGGGATCTGCTTGTCTTCAAAAAGATGCAAATCATACATGTGAAAATAGGTTAGCAGTCATAAACCCGGTAAATTAGAGCACTTGAGATGATTTTGCGATAGCTCAATTGATAAGATTGTAAGTTGGCCGATTAGATGATCTCGGCAAACGATTCTGCTTGTTTCTTGTCGCAGTTTGGATCAACCATGGCATTGTGTAGATTTGGGTAGACCAGGAAGTAGAACAAACAAAAGATGACGAACCCGAAGAAGAACATCATCTGAAAGCAGAATGTGAATTGAGAAGCATCAAATTTTCCGTGCTGCATACGCACCTGTGAGATCCACTGAAATCTATGCATAGTGCGAGGCGTCACTTGAAAATCCATGAGACTGAGAATTTTGTCACCTATAAAACCCGATGAAATTCAAGGAGAAAATAGCCAACTAGCTTATGTGCATTTGTTGAATATATTGGATTTGAGGTGAGATGTAATCCGCATAAATCTATTTATAGGGAGGGCGGGGCAAAAAATCATAATAGAAACGAGATGGAAACGAAGGGTCTATGCTTGATATGAGAATTGAACTTTAGCTGTATGTCAAAATTGACAACGTATTTCTAATTTAAACATAGAACCAATAACGACCTGACTCGAGCTTACTTTATTTGCTGTGATATATTCAGCAAAAAGATGTAAAAAGTGTACATATCTGTTCTTAATGTGCTCAGCACTATGAACTTCTTCATTGTAAAGTCCTTTTGAGTTCCATTAAGTTCCATGAATAAATAGAAAAACCCTTACCGATACCTCCTTTGTCAATTTCGGGGATATAAGAGTCCTCCATGTCAGCAATGGGAACCGTCACGTATTCAGTGTTGAGCCTAAAGCGCAACCGACGATAATTTTTGTGGAGTTTCATATCGGTCAATTGGCTTTTTCTCCTATCATTGCTTTGAAATTTTTCAAGCTTCTCTCGTTTAACGAACTTGGGCAACGTTTCTACGCTATTCTACTCGGCGAATTTGAGCGGATGCATGTGTGCTTTTTTGCGCGTGACTGCGGTCGGTGTGAACAAAAGGGACGAATTCAAAAATGTGCAACAGAAGTTTGTCTAAGACTGGATTCGTATGATCTGAATTTTGGAACAATCCCAATGCAGTTCTCGCATAAAAGCAGTGTGCTGGAGGTGCGAAACTGTGATGCATGCGCTGCAGCCGCGCGCATACGGTGTTGAACGGCGGGTGTTGAAGATTATCAACGGTTTCCAACGGTTTTCTTCTCAGATTTCACTCATTTCGGCTTCGTTCCTCTACTCCGCTTCCCCTTTTGACAGGAAGAACCTCGAATCAAAAGCTGGTGTAAAGAACGCAATTCTGCTTCTATGTGTGTGGCAAAATATGGGTCTTCCTGCTCGTCCGTTCTTCTCCCTTCGTTGTTTCTCTTCAGATTCACTTCATGTGCTCCAAAAAGCTGCCGCGTAGTTTCACAGGTATCTATCTCGTGCTGGGGCACGCCAACAATCTCCAGATTGCGAAAAATCGGAATTTTTTTCTAGGTTACTGAAGGTTCCATTTTTGGGGCATTCTCAACCGGTTTTCTTTTTCGATATCATTGTTATCCGTCTTTCACCCCGCTTTTTT